TTTTTTTTTAATTATTTTTTATTGTGAAATACACATTTTTTAGAATTAGTTTCAGCTGTAAGGACTATTCTTAAGTGATTCCTTAAAACATGGCTATTTTTTAGAGGACTAGATTAAATCTGTGTGTTTAAGTATATATCAAGGTTAACACAACGCCCACCTTCTAAGAATAATTATGGATTTTCATTTTCCTTTTTAAGTCTTATTTTACAAAGGATTTTAAAGTGAGTATATTTTTCCTTTGGCCCCATTAGCAGAAATTTTCACCATCAGAGTAATAAACCACTTCCCAGGACCATTACATCCCAATACTTCCTTCACAAAAATACTGATTATTTTATATTTTACGTGAACATTTGAGATGTCTGACAAATCCATGTAGAGGAAGACAATTTGAACTTTAGAATCCAAAGAATCCCAGATGTGCAATTTTTAGCTCTGTAACACTGGGCAAGTCACGTATCTGTTTCTTCACTGTACACTAGGGTCATATAGTACTGTTAAAACATGAACAAGGATCCAGCGCCATTCCCCTAATCACTGTTAAGGGCTTTGAGTTCGTCCAACCAATATTAGGCCAAACACGCTTGAACAATAAATGGGAAAACTTTTTTTCCTAGATATGAACAAAGATACACATCATTCTGGAATCTACTGGCAGCCATTCTGCCTACTTGAGGAGAACCACACTGGGAAAAAAAAAAAAAAAAAGATGGCAGAAGAGATGAGCACCAAAGCAGTGCTTTCCAATAGCCTGTAACAGTCTATAACAAGGCCAGAATAAACCTTGAAAATAAGCATATTTAGAAACATTTATGTCAAATAGCAATTTCACAGAATTTTACATCTGTTGAATTTAATAATTAAAAATCTGGGGTTTACACTGCTTTTGCAATTGCAACAAAAAGAATAAAACACCTAGGAATAAACTTGACAAAGTATGTGAAGGACCTATACACTGAAAATTACAAGATATTATTAAAACAAATTGAAGAAGACACAAAGAAATGGAAAGACATTCCACGTTCATGGATTGGAAGAATCAACATAGTTAAAATGGCCATACAGATTTAATGCAATCCTCATCAAAATCCCAATGGCATTTTTTTAAATAAACAAAACAAAACCAAAAAATCATCAGATTTGTATAGAATCCCAAAAGACCATGAATAGCCAAAGCAATCCTGAGAAAAAAGAAGAAGGCCAGAGGTATCACACTCCTTGACTTCAAATTATACTACAAAGAGAACATAATCAAAACAGCATGGAATTAGCAGAAAAACAGAACATAGACCAATGGAATAGAATTGAGAACCCAGAAATAAATGCACATATATATGAGCAAATAATTTTTGACAAAGGAGCCAAAAACATACAATGGAGAAANGGAGAACATTCCCCTCATGGCTTTGGAAATTTGATTTTGATTTTAAAAACTTAGATTCACAGCATCAACAAATTTACATCTTACAATGTTTGGGAGAGGAAAGTATAAATTCTATGAAATAATGATGGCTAGTTTTTGTGTTTTTTTAAAAAAAAAAATCTATCACAGATACCCATCATAGGCAACCAAATCATAACCCAAAATGGCAGCCAACAAAGTTTGTGGCAGATGAAGACATTATGGCCATTTGGAAAGGTTTCACACAGTAACTGCCCCTGTCATACTCTCCAGTAAAGAGAATTTCAATGGAGGGCAGGGGAAGGGATGGAGAGGGGAAATTTATATTTATTAATGTTTTAAAGACTGTTCCGGAAAGAACAAGGGATGAAGAAATAAGCACAGTTAGAAGTTAAGAGTCCTAGCTCTGCTACTTATGACCCAAGGTTTTCTGGGACAACTGACTTGCTCTCTTTAACCTTGGTTCCATCATTTGTAAAACTGGGGTGATACTATCAGCCAACTGCATGGGACTGTCAACCAATGAAACCAAATATAAGAGCAGTATAGAAATTTTGAAGGCACTATGTATTCGTTCAACAAATATTTACTAAGAAGCTACAGTGCTGCCAGACATGGCACTGTGGATACCTAAGGACTGAGGTGAAGGTGAAGGCGGGTACAGGGAGCTGTAGGAACATGCGGGCAGCCTCTGATCCAAAAACCAGACACATATCAGGTATTGTGACTTTTACGAGCCCTTGAGAAAGTTTCTCAGTGAAAAGTGGTGGCTGTGGGTTTTAGTTTTGATTGTCTAATTATCAGCTCATTCAGTTAGTACCCTTTTTATTGGACACTCACTATGTGTCAGGCACCGTTCTAGGTGCTGGGGACTTAGCACTGAATAAAATTTCTGCCCTAAAGGAACTGATATTTCAGTCATTGCTCATCCATAGGAAAGTTAAAATATATAAACTAAATAGATTTAAGCAGAAGCCTGCTTCTACTGGAATACAATGATTTTTTTCTTTTATTAAAATTTATTGGGATGACAATGGTTAGTAAAATTACAGAGGTTTCAAGTGTACAATTCTGTGAGACATCATCTATGTAACAATGGTTTTTTTAAACCAAAATACCCACACACAGAAGTTAAAATGAATATTCTAATTGAGCTAAATACAGTAAATATTTTATTTCTTAATTTAATCTCCAGGCCACATTTTACAATATACCAAGTAACTGCCATCACATAAAACGTGCCCTTGAGTTTGAGGGATGATGATCTGGGTATGTGTTAGCACAGAATAGACTAGCCCCCCACACCATACCCTCCTCCAAGAAAAAATAGCACATGCTGGAATCTATCCAATAACAACCACAGTTTTAACAAGGGAACATCAGTTATTTTTGAAGCACTTCCTGCAGTCATTTTTTAAGGATGAAAAAAAGTTGATTTATTTAATTTAGAAGCTAACCTGAAGATCANGGGGGGGGGGGGGGGGGGAAGAGAGTGAGTCCCCATCCCTCTCCCATCCCCATTTCATTTCCTCCATCTCCCTGCTCTGACTTCCTCTGTGTTGGCTTCATTCTCAGAAAGGCTTTCCCTAAGCGGTAGCAAGGAGTGTTACCAGCAGCTCCAACTTAACAAGCCCACAAAAAGGAAAAACTTCTTTGCCACAGTTTCAGTGACAATACTGGCGCTCCTCCATAAACTGATCCTTGTGGCCCTGACTAGCCAAGCTTATATCACGTGCCCATAACAGAGACAGTGTGGGGGTCACCTACTCTAACCACACAGGCTGCAAACAAAGCAAGGGTGACTGACTGACTGCCCAGGGAAAATGTGGGTCATTTGTCGAAAGAAAAGGATGCTGGGTAGGCAAAGTCAACAGACAGCCTCTACGTCACAGGCTCTCAAGGCTACTGACTTATTCCCCTCTAGCGAGTATTTATTGTTATTATGTATAATGCTGAGTTACCCGCTGAACAGCCAATAGAAAATGTTTGCAGTGCCTGTCCCTGTACAATATACTTTTTCTCAAAATGAATTATTTTCTACCTTATGGCCACAGGTTAGGTTGTTTATACAGTTTCATTCTCCTGGTCTACAGTAAACCTATTTTGCACTTATTTATATTCCTATTATTTTCAGGGCATTTCTTCTCCTTTGTCGTATATGAGTATCTTAATACCAAAAGCACACTGCTGAAACCAAATGTGTTGCTAGCTTTTGTTTTGGGTGAGATAAAAGTAAAAACTTGCCAAGCAAACTTAAGTAGCACAGAGTGTCCCCCACCAAAAAAAAAAAATGTCAGCTTTCGATGACCCACCACCCTTCACGGTGTAAAAACACAAATGAGGGCAAGTCTCTGAAAGTACCAATACCAGTCCATGCTTTCTCAGGGTCACTGCCTTCTCTCCAAACTAAAGCCAAGATCACTGAGTCTGTTATGGGTGGCCTCTGGTTCTGGCTTCTTATATATCTGCGCTTGAGATCTTTTTCCTCTCTTCTCTGAGAGAAGAGAGAAAAAGGGTGGGACAGAGAAAAAGGAAAAAGGAAAAGAAAAAGAAGACAGCAACACACTGTACACAGAGGTTTGTCAGGATATATCTGCCATTTATGTGATGCTAAGAATCTCTCAAATAACTGGGATGATTTTTGGGGGGTTGTCGCAAAAGCACTTCATGGAATAAAGCAACTTTCCCTTTTCGCACCCACTCCACTTTATCCAGCCTCTCTTACCTTATACCAACCTGATTTTGCTTAAGTTATGGTCCGTCTCGGGCTTTCACAACAGCTTTCTTTTATGGATTTTCCATCCAGCAAATGTTTCTGTTCCACGGCTGGGCAGATCCAACCACAGCATGCTTGGCTACAGACCCGGCAGCTCAACCACAGCAGCTCCAACCTGGAGGGGCAAAGGCCAGAAGCCGTTATAGGGGTTCAGACTCACAAATTCTCTCTCCTTCTCAAGAGCGCATGTTTGGCAAAATAACCCCAAATCTCTCCCGAATGTTTAAAATCATTAATGAATAGAGACAATAGCTTGTAAGGTGTTCTAAATACAAGCTTGGGCTATTTTGAGGGGAGGGCTGAATAATTTAATCATTATTAAAAAGTTCTGGCTACATGATTATGCTCTGTTTGTGGAAAACTTAAAAGCCAGATGTTTTAATTAACCACAGAAAACACAAGCTACAACTGAAATTTCATGAACACCCTGATCTGCTCTGTGGAAAACCACAGGAATGTTCTGGCAAGGCTCAGTCTGAATTCTTGGGACACAGAGGGCTGGGGTCATTCCCCTGAGGAACTTGAACAGAAAATTAACTTGCTCAATATGTTTTTCAAAAAGTAAAATGAAACCCAGATTTAATCTCAATCAAATATAAAAACATTTCGGGACTTCAAAGGCACCACCAAAAGACACATAAGGGAAAGGTCATAAAAAATTCCAAACTGGTTCAGGATTTAGAACATACTTTGAATGCAAAGTGAATGGTGCAACAGAAAAGTGTTATAGGCTAAATAATCCAAAGGGGAAACGAATCACCTTTCACTTCATAACAGAGGAAAACGATATATGAAACCAATATTCAACAGATGAATCATAAATATTATCAAAAGTATAATATAGTTGAGCCAAAGGAATCTCTTAACTATCTTACTTCATGCCAAACCTGTGGCCTGTCCCACAGTATGTAGCTACCAGGCTTCAGGGTGAAGAATCATGGCGTCCAGAAAAACAGTGTTAAAACAGTGTATGCTCACTAATGTCAGCTGACAATTCTGGTACAGAAATCTAAAATGAGGGGACCTTATAAAAGTAATTAGTGAACAACTAAGAACTAATAGATTGGGAAATCTTCATTTGTTAATTATAGTAATAGTTATGACAACATCTACACATGCTAAATATTAAAAGCCTATTCAAGAGGGAGCAGGACAAATGTTATTTTCAGATACTGGGTCCATAATTCTATTTCTGTAAGTCAAAACAGACCCCATCATGAGCATGCCAAGCATAATATTAACATTAATCTCTACCTTCATTGGAATGCTAGTCCCAAAAATCCTCTCAAAAGGAACACAGCAGGAAAAAAAGGAAGATATCAAGTTATGTACGGATGGTATGATACCAATTTTGTTCTACAACCTATGTATAATCTAAAGATACCAAAGTATGAACAAAAGCTATTTCTGAGTCATGGAATTAGAAGATATTTGTATTTTCTTCTTGGTGTTTTCCAAAATTTCTGTAATTAATTAATATGTATTGCTCGTAGTATTAGAGTATTTTTAAATAAAGTTTTTATAAATAGTATGGGAATATAAGTCAGAAATGGGATATGATACTATATTAGCCTGATCTGTGAGCTTCCTCTTATCTGAACAATAAGGACTAATAAATTAAGTCTTCGTTTATCTGAACTCAGTAATTCTTAATTTAGAAGTTCAAAACCCAAGTGTCCAATAACACTTCCAAGGCTAACAACTGTGCTTTCCTAGAAATAAGAAAAATTTGTTCTTATTCTGCAAACTCACCACAAAGAGACAAGCAGACCATGGTTATTTCCCTCCCTAACTAATGCACCCAAGCTCCTCTATCCCTGGCCACACCATACACTTGTCACTTAATTAAGAAGAGCACCTCCTTGGTGTTCCCTACAATGTCACAGGAGCACAGCCCTCAGTGAACGCTGCCCCACTCCATTTCTGAGACTCTTAGCATCTCAGAAAACACAAACACAATGGCGGAATGTTAACACTGGGTGACTTAGCAATCCAGCATTCCGAGAAGCCCAACCCTACCTCACTCCCAGTTTATAAGTGAAGACACTGATGCCGAGACACAGGTCGAGTGTTTTTCCAGAGGCCACACAGTCTGCAGAGCAGGGACGTGAGTCCAGGTCACCTGCTTCCACTTTGACCAAGTATTCTTTCTACCACGACAACATCTCAGCATGCATTTTGAAATACACATTTGTATGAACCATCCTCCCATGTTAAATGCGTATCAGCAAAACCAGAAGAACAAGACAGAAATTTGTTCCACCAAAAATGAAATGCATGCAGGAAAAAAAGCCAAGGCTTAACCCACAGGCTAAAAAAAACTGCCGGAACACGTTGAGTCGGAGAGACAATGGGCGCAGTGTGCTCAGGCGGCAGGTGTCCTGCACAGTAACTGCCTATCACACGGAAAGCTTTCTGTTCCTGGTACTTGCTCTGTTGGTAACAGCACATTCCCAGTGCTCAAAGCTGGACAGGAGATTTTCAACAAGATAAGGCTACACCACACTTGCACCAAGCCACCTACCTGTAAGAGACACGTAGGATGCACGCTCACTAAAGTGGTGGAAATAAGTGATTTATTGGCATCAAGTCTGGTCTCTTACTTCCAAAAGGACCCAAGTTTTAGGGGAGAGGCATAATTGATTCCAAAAACTAAGAAAACAAGAGTCACTAAGAACTAAATTCAAAGAATCCAAATGCTTCATATCTTATGTCTGATGTGACCTTACAGAGTGAACAGGATTCTTCTATTTTCTTCTAAGTGATTTATTTGAAACATTGCTCACCTCCACTTCTTTCTTAGCATCTACCTACAGTGTCCACACCACACCAACCAGAAACCTAAAAGTCTCTCACAAAATGTGAATAGCCTGAGAAGGGGAGAGAAAATGACGGATGGCAATGACAAACTCAGAATCACTACATGAAAAGCCTTTATTGAGCTCACTTCTCGTCAGCCTGCCCCTGCTGTGCAGCAGGACAACAAAGGCATGAACTGTGAGGCTGCTAATAAAAAGCCGCACCAAGGGATGATGTGATCTGAGGGATGATGTGATCTTGCTTTGTAAGAGCCAGAACAAACACATCGGCTCAGTCCCGCCTCATCTGACAAGTCAGGCACCTTATGAGAAATGAGAAAGCATTTTTTTCCACCCCAAACCGCTCCTTAAATCCCCATATATTTCCATGGTTGGGTCCTGCAGAAGAAACCGTATGGGCAGTCTATTCCCGTCTATACCTCAGTTTTAATACTAAACATTAACGTCAACCACGGGCATGAGAACATAGATTCTTGTTGCTATTTCACAAAGAAATCAAAGCTTTATGGTGAGTATTGTGCAAAAACTAAAGTCATTCGTAAGGTAATGGCAGTAAGTTTAAATCTAGCAGTCTGGTAGAATGCACTCTGACCTACTAATCAAATTGGGTGCCATCCTGCTGAAGTCAACAAATTATCTTTCTCCACAGAGACTAAAAAGGAAATTAGAATTAGATCAGATTCACAGAGTTTTAAAATCCTTTCTTACTTGGAACCTTGGTTGTTTGGGGGCGGTTTTTGCCTTTGGCAAAATGTGCGCCCAGATATTGCNGCTAATTATATGACGCTTATTTGCTCTTTGGCTGAAATTCCATCAACTCAAACTGACAACGTGTATTGCAGAATGCTGCTGGTTTCCCTGGGGAAGAGGATGCGACAAGTTTGGAACTACAATCTGACAAATACACAGCTTGAGTGAAACCATGCCCTTCACAGGCATCGCTCCTTTATTCTAGAATCTATTTTCCTGAGAAAAGGTCCGAAGTCTCTTCCGAAGACAGCATTCCCGGTGACCAGTCACAATGAGGACCCCACCCGGTAAACTCATTCACCCGGGAGTTGAATGAGCAATGCCAAGTCATTCAGGTCATTAGAGGGCCAAGGGCCAGAATCTGGACTTTCTATTGGGTTGTTGGAAAAGTCATGATGCATTTTTGCAACGAAAAACAAAAAATACATCATGACTTTTCCGACAACCCAATATTATATATCCCAGTTTTATGTTCTTTCTCTCAACTCTTTAAAAACAAGACCCATGTCTTATCCCTTACATTTTATCCTATACATTTTATTATAAAAAGTCTCGAGCACATAAATGAAGTACAAAGAACAGATCTCCATACAGCCATCATCCAGCTTCAACAGTTGCCAGCTCACCACCAATCTGGTTTCATCTCCACACCCACTTAGTCCCCCATCCCCCTCCACTTGAAAGCAAGGGTTTAAATCCCAATCCCAATCTCTGAATTCACAACTGATTTTGAACATACACAAACATTTTATAATCAGTAGTTTAGGACTACAAATTTCCAAGACACTGACACAGGGTACAAGAGAAGGTTCAATTTAAAGATCTCAAGACACATAACTTCACACTTTGTCTAATTAAGAGAAAACAATACATTACTTTGTTTGTACCAGACAGCACAAACCCAATTACCATATGTCCCCATGTATAACACGCTTCCATGTATAAGACGCATCTTAATTTTGGGGCCCAAAATTTGAAAAAAATGTATTACATAAAGTTACTGAACTCAACTTTATTCATCATAAAATTCATACAACTCCTCATCACTGTCAAAACTCCCAATCATTAACTTGTCCTCAATCTGTGTCTGATGACGAATCACTGTCTTCATATATTGCCTCGTCCTCAGCAGGAAATGCAAGTAAAAAAATCTACAACCACTGTATAAGACGCACCCAGCTTTTAGACCCCAAATTTTTTGAAAAGGGTGCATCTTATACATGGGGAAATATGGTAAGTGCTTCATCGATAGTTTTTCAAAAGGGATTTATTACAAAAAGTAACAAAAAAATCTATAGTTTATAGATTGCCTGAAAAAGTGAAATAATATCATGTCTCCTTAAATGTTAACCTTAAATAACTAAA